TGTTCAGTAATTAATATGACAGAAACACGAGGGTGATTGTATGTTAGGCAATGAAAAACATTGTCCTCGTTTTTAAGCAGCATCTCCTATTGGAGAATTTTAGCAAAAAATTAATAGTCTTTGTAAGCCACATTTACAAAATGCAATTTTCTTGTAATGATAAAGAGTAATACTTGCTGAAGTGACGAGTAGTCTGCTATTATCTTGGTGATGGCCTTAATATTTCAGGCTTTCTTTATGTTTTTATAATTTATTGCCAAGCAAGCATGTCAATATTCTACATGAAGGATATTTATTGGAGACACAATATGAAGAAAAGAGTGTTTAACCCTTTTAGCCTTTAATAACACAGAAAGAATCGTACCTTGCAGAATATCCCTTCTAAGGAGTCTTTCTGCTGTGCCTTTTGCAACCGGACGTGTCTATCTCGTATTGGCCTTTTTAGCCACCAACGCGCTTGCAACAAACGTGGGTAGTGCCCTTCCCAAATCTTCATTCGCGAAGCCTAGCCATGATGATAAAATTTTATACAAGATTTTTTCCATTTTGGCCACCTACCAATGAACCTTGAATAGATGTCATGAAAAGAATTTATCAAATACAGTTTTTGGTAACCTGTCTCCTTCAAAATCCATTATTTAACAGCAAAGTCTAAGGAATCCTGAGTGGATTGCAAATCCCTGAATGTGCCTGTACTTTTTTATTTAAGATCAAGTTTAAGAAAAAGAAAATTCATTAGAGGCCTGAAAACACTTACTATTGGCTTAAAAATTACATGAGATGAAAGAATAAAGTATTCAAAGGCAGAAGAGAAACAGAATGTACAATTAAGAATTTCTACTCTCGTTTATATTACTTTGTGGTTTAAGAAGGGACTTCGCTTATTTCTGTACATTTTCCTAGTATTGCCAATTAAAACTCAGTTAAGCTTTTCATTTTTTTTCTCATTTTCTGGAACAGTATCATTCCTTATTAATAATAAAACAGTCCTGATATTTTATGTTCTGTTAGAATCCATCTTACAGACCACGTGCTATTTCTAAAAATAGTAGGATGGGCTGTAAACAAGGAGTGAAAAATATCAAAACATCTTTTTTTTTTAGTTTGGCCTTTTCATCATTTCTAAAAATGAGTTTTCACCTCTATTAAATGTTTAGCAATATGATAATCCACCAGAGGCCTAGAAGACTGGTATCTGTACCACAGAATGCTCCTCAATTCTGATCACTGATCTTTATCTCACAAAACCAGCTTGCAGAGTGCCTTATTTACTCATTACAATCCCCTTTGTTTTCCACTTTGTGAGCAAGAAAGTAGCTTCATCTCTCAGATGTATGGGTCATTATGAGCTCACCAGAAAGATAATATTTCCAATCTTTGGATTCTTAAGTGTGAGTCTAGAACATTTTCCAGAAGTTACTAGCACTTCAGCAGTTAAAAACTGATTTTAATCATATATATATATGCCAAGCAGAACTCCCTTGTGAAGCAGACTGTATGTTCTCCAATGTTCAAAAAGTGTAGTAGAAGAGGACAGTTTGGATGGATAACAAATTATTCCACCAAAGAAAGCTCATAATTTAGATGTAAGAACAAAAGGGTTGCTGCTGATATTTCATATGTTTGTGTTGTGCAAACTTTCAGTACTTCCTTTTTTGAAAGATATTCATGAAACATCTCACTTGTTAATTATTTTTGATGATGCTTTAGAAGCTATCAAATACTTGAAAGCAACAGTAGGGATACTAGCTTAAAGTTATTTCTGAATTATAAGCACCTTTTTTTTCACTTGGCTAGGTTTGTAGTTGACATGCCTACAGGAAGAAGTAGAAATTGTATCAATGCCCTGCACCTTCTTTCTAAACTCTCATTTTAACGATGAAGAGCATATATGGAATGTGTGTTACTGAAAAGTGTGTCCAGTTCTTCTTCTCATGGTATTTTATAAAATGTTGCAGGTAGTCTTGTTGGTGTAAAGAGAAGCCCAGATAATGTCATTATGCAATGGGTCTTCGGTTGCCACCTGTGATTACCTAATTTGAGATTACATTCCATAGTGCAGGAGATGGCAGCAATGCTACCCAGCAAAAGAGACATTTTCTCAAAGAATGTACTTGCCTTGAAAATATAATGATAATCCATACAGCTTTGGAATATTTTTCAGATTCTTGGGTGATGAGACTTGCAGTAATTCTTTGCTGTTAAACTGCATGTGTCAAAGAAGCTTAAGGGAAGAAAATCTACAAACAGGGTTTCATTACTTCTTAGTTAATGTAGAGGATACTGTGGCTTTATTGGCCAGATTCGAGCTTCAAAATCTTTATAGTTAAAAACAGGTAATGCAAATAATAAAAAGACTGAAGATGGAGTTTTTATTACAGTTTGTCTGTTAACAAAAACTTGAATTGCTTTTCATTGTGAATTACTCCATTTAAAGAATAACTGAAGAAAATATTTACACTAAAAAGAGAAAAATAATCCCTTTCCATAGCTCGTGGCCCCTTTATTTGCTTATACAGTCATCACTGTGGTATGACCAAATGGATTATTAGTAAGAAAAAGCAACCAGTCCAGTTCCTGAATGAATGTATTGGCATTTTTTAAAGACAGGTAATATAATTCCTTTGAGAAGGGTCTGGACATTCTTTATATGAACTGTTGACAGTCAATTAACTTGTACCGAGCAAAAATTCTGTTATTTTCTACTGGACCTGTCTATCTGCTTTTATACATAAATAACAACTACTAGTAAAAGAATGTGATTTTCTTACAATGTCAGAAAACCAAGTTAATGCTTATTTTCGTGGTGTACAGGAAGTCTGTATGTTAAGAAGTAAATTACTGATTAAATTTTTTGTATAAAAAACATTTGCTGTAAGAGATGTTATTTTTCAAGTGTTTATATTTAGTTATTAGTTTGGAATAACTTTGATTTTTTAGTGAAATTATGCTAATATTTCTCTTGTAATAAATTATTCATGGCTTATATACTAAATTATCTGTATTTTTTAAACAAGGGATAAAAAAAGTGTAATTCATATTTTTAAACTAAAGAAGAAAACCTGAAGCTGATGTATTAGGCATCTCTTTCTCACAGCCAATCACAATGGAGAGTATTTCAGCGGGTTGTCAGGTTTTCCAGGGAGTGAAATGAAGGACGTTATATAAAGTAATTAGAAGTGTTTTGGTAAGTAGGGCGAATGATTAAGAACTAGAACAAAGAAACCTCAGAGACAATACATTGCTATCAAAATTATGGCTTTTAAATGCTGATACAAAACAAATCTTGGCAGCTGCTCATTAATTACCATACCTCCGGACAAATTAATGGGCAATTAAGTTCATTACAAAGCTGCACTGACTAAATGTAGGTAGGTCAAGAAGATTTGAATAGGTTAAATAATCTGTCTGAGTTTAAAAGGAGATACAACAGTTATTAGTTTCTATAGAAATCTGTTCTCCCATCTTCCTCTAGCTACCTTTCCAGCTACGCTTGAAAGAGCTGTGATGTAAAAAATTTACATCCCAAAGAGTACAGATTCAAAACCTTAACCTCTGCTCATCAGAGTTGCATCCTGGAGCTATATGAGGAATTACATACTTCTAGAAAACGTTGTTCTCTCACTATTTAAATTCTGCAAAATAAAACTGGCAAGTGTGTTAGAAAACATCCTTCCAGCAAAGCAGGTTTCCCGTAGCTGACTCCTTTCTGGCAGATTTTAAAATGATGCTGAGGTTCAGAACAAAACTGGGAGGCTGAGCAGGATCCAGGCTGGTGGTGTGTGGGGGAGGAGTGCTAGTGGTGATATACCTTAGTGTCTGCAGGGCCTCCCTGTTTGTGAAGCTTTAAGAGTGGCAGGAGACAGGGGAGTTGGTCTGAAAACTAAGTAGCACTGGAGAGAAGTGTCACCAGACCTGTACACACAAATTATTGATCTGCATTGCTCCTCAGGAGTACCTAAACAAGGAAAGTAATTTCACTTTCTGAAAGTAAATTTCAGTTTGTCAACAGTGTGGGTTTTTTATAAAAAAGAGATATATCCTAAGTGCTAGTTCACAGAATCTCGGAGTTCTGCCTTTTTTCTTCCCATCCATAATACAGACTTGCTCAGGTTTTCTGGTGTTTGATCAGGAAGCATCAGCTAAATTTTTACAAATGCTCAGCACTCCTACAGCCTTTGACCAGACGTTTCCTTTATGGAGATGTTATAGTGTCTCCTTCTAACCTTTACTGCTCTTGTAGGTCTCATTTTTATCACATAAAATTTTGTTCTAAAAAAACAGCTAGCAGACATCTCTTTGTGGTCAGTGACAAGGGTGGCTCTTGCTGTTCACCCATTTTTGCCTGTTTGAAACGGTTAGAATTTGACCTAAGCTCACAGATGCCATGTGGACTAAGGTGGCCTACTCAGTCTTTAATTATGGGTGTAGCTGTTCCGGGAAGTAATTACACTGTGGATACCTGACCTTTGTCCTGTAGACCTTTCTTGCTGACAATTAAGCACCAGTTTCACTGATTCTGAAGCATGTTCTAGTGCGTTTTCATTTGTTTACTGCCAGCCTGATGATAGCAGCTGTTAAATTTATCTGAGTATTAATAACAGCCTGCTCATAATTTTCCCAGAGCCACCTACAGAAAGATTTTATTGAGAGGTGGAAGCCTGGTAGGCAAGCATTATTGTCTCTGTGTATTAGACCAACATGTTTCAAGGATGGGTGCATATTCACCATGGGACGGCTCAGTGAAACGGGCATGATCAAGGTGCTTCGATTACATAAACAGAGTGGAGCTGCTTTTTACTGCACGATACTAGAGTGTATTACAGATCAACTTGAATATGGCAAAACCAGTTTTACAAGAGCTATTAAAAAAGATGCCTCATATATTATTCAAAGGCGCCATGTACTTTATATTGCAGAGACAGTTTGAAATTAGCATTACTTAATTAGCATTGCTTAATGCTAACCTTTCAGTAAATATATTGGTATAAAATCTGTGATTATCTCATCTCTGTTAAATCTGTGAGGGTCAGTATTAACTCTGCAAAAGTAGGACGTCCTTCAGGTTTCTGAAAAGCAGAGGATAAACTTATATTAGCAGATTGGTCAATTATAGTACCAGACTTCAGAAGACAATTATAAGTACATATGAGATACCATTTAAAAATTACATTTTATTTTATTAATACAGAAGAAAAGATCAAGTTTGTCATCTGAGAGAGAAAAATAATGTTATTCATGACACCAGCAACATAAACACAGGCACTTTTCCAAAAATTCCTGAAATTTTTTTATACTTGTTTCAATTCTGGATCAGAATTCCTTTAGGATTTCTCCCTGCAGTGGGTCTATGGAAAGCCCTACCTCTCAGGAAACCATGATACTTGGGAATGTTTCTGGGGTTGTTGAAAAAGGATCTTCCCGGATGTATTATTTGATGTGCTGCTGCTCAATATAGAGCAAACTCCTGGCTGGTGGTAGACAGAGGGGACAACTTCTTCCCCATCCTCTCTCTGCTGGATGGCATCCTGATGGATGGTTGCAATAAGCAAGAAAGCTGGACACAATTTAGATTTGTCTCTTAACCTTTTTTTTACTTAGGGTTTAGAAGTTTTATATGGAGTTAAAAGGTGAGTGATAAAGAGCAACCTCATTTCCTGTAGAGACTAGAGAAGGAGGAACCTTAAGAGATTAATCAGATGGAGAAGTTGATGAAATCAGTGTTTTGATACCAATATAGGAAGACTAGGAGCAGGAGAAACCAAGAAAGAACATCAAGTACCAAATCAGCTTGGAGAGGATGGAAGGGGTGCAGCCTAGAAGCTGAAGTGATGTACAGAGATACTGAGGTACACCTGAAAAAGAGTTCAAAATCTACATCTAGTGGGCATATCCACTTCATATATGGATGTGATAGGGTCAGAACAGAGCTAGAGAAAGCTACGCATGATACAAAGTGAAAAAGGTATCACATTGGATGCAGTAGAGAAGCAAGGCAATAGTGGCATATTCAAACCCGGGGATGGTCTAGACCTATTGAACTGATAGTGTGCTTTATATTTATTAGCTGCAACAGTCAAAAGAAGCAGAGGCTTAGGTGTGATTTGTAAAAAATGTAGTCAGAGATACCGAAGATTTCACAGACGTGAAATAAGGATTTAATGCCTCCATTTACTAAAGATTGCTTTTATATCCACACTGACAATTAATAATAAAGTAATATCACAGGGGAAAAAAAGGGCAACAAACCTCGTGCCAGCAGCTGTATATGACTTTGTACGCAGTATGTGATGCCAAATGTGGTCGATAAAGTTGGTTACCTTGAGAAATCTCATGGACAACTTCAGAATTGGACTTATTTTCAAAGGGCATTTTGCCCTTCCCACATCAATACACCTAGAAGTGAACCAAAATATATGGTTTAGGACAAAACAAAAAATGCCAAACTCACAACTTTTTAACATTAGGAGAACAAAAAACACTCCTGATTTTTTGTGTATTGAAAAATGTGTGAAAATATGGGCAACATGAACTGGAGACAATCAAAACCATTTTCAACTAATATAATTCTGCTCTCTTTTAAGTCAGCTAAGGTCGTGGTCCATGAAACTCAGAGGAATGTACATTTGGTTAATGGGGACTTACTAAGAATGCACATTTCAGTGCAAAACCTAATTTTTAGGCACAGAGCCTTTCTATTGAAAAACATACTTGTCAAATATAAGCAAGATTTAAAAATGGGAAGTACTGCAGCTTAAGATAGGTAGCATGAATAAAAAGTTACACTTTCCTAAATCACATTAGTAGTTTTAGGGAAGCACAATATGTTGCACATGCACCTAATCAACTCACCAAATGACCAGACATCTGACTTGCTGCTGTATTTTTTGAAATAAAAGACTTCAGGAGATGACCATTTGACTGGAAACTTGGCACCTGAAGAGCTGATATATTCGTCATCAATGATGTACCTAAAGAATAAGAGGAAACTTCATATATTTGAATGAGTGACATTTCCACAGAGGGGTTATAATTTCATAAAAATACAATGTCAATTTAGAAACAAGGAAATGGTATCGCTAATTTAGTATAAAATGCACACAGAAACCAATACTGAAAGCTATGCCCTTAAAGTGATTTCTGTTTAAATGAATGATTTGGATTGTTTATGTTGGAAGAAAATATATTGATACCATCTGTAAGACTGACAGGATGGTGGTTATTGTCATTTTTTGGGTGTATATTGATAAGACACCATGGGCAGGAAAACCAGCAGCAATAATTTGTCTTCTTTTAACGGGATCCATTTTTCCAACCACTCGTTCCACACAAATACTACTGTTACTGCCCATCCTCACAGATGTAGTATCTGGGACATTGTTACCAAAGCAACACAGAAAGAGATGTTCATCACATTTGAGGCAAAAGTTTTTGTAGGGGCACTAAAGTAATTTTTTTTGCCCAGGCTTATAGGAGCTAACATCCCAGATAGGATGAAATTATGTGTCTAATGCAGGCATTTATAGGGCAACACTTTAAAAGGTTACTGGTCAGACCCCTACACACTGACAAACTCTGTGCACATTTTCTCAGTATTAACATTCCTGAGTCCACAACAGATGGGCAGTTCTTGGGGAAAGCATAATGCTTTATCATCTTTTAAAGCACCTTTTAAAGGAGGTCACTTGAAATAAATAATCTCATTGCCTCACTTTCTCATTTTGGTGCAGGCACAGAAACATGGGAGGCTACTGAATAAGGAATATATGAAATACCAGCACAAAATAACCTGTAGTGGCAGTTGTGTGAACTCTGAATAATTAGATTGTGTTCCCATCACCTCTTCACAATTTCCCCAGAAGAGTGAGTACCTGTCCAAGAGCCACACCACTGATCTCCACTTCTTGGCAACAATGAGCCATTCAGGTCCATTATTCTTAGGCTGGACCCTGACAGCCCCTTGGTCTCTTACTGTGTTTTCTGACTCATTTGGATGAGTCCAAACCCCTGATACTGATCTTACCCTTTTGGAGAACAGTGCAACCATGGTACAGGACAGACCTTTGAAAAACAAGTATTTAGTTATGAACTGCTAAAGTGTTGTAAGCCTGAGGTTAGAAACAGGATGCAAAACCAAAGGGAAAGGTAAGCAGCATGGCTGTGCTGATCTCATGATTTGTAGCCACAAGGTAGATGTCCCCACCACCTCCTGCTCTGAGCCACTCACTGCCTTTCAAGTTCGTCTGCCTCCTAAGTGAGCTGATTCATTCTACTAATCCTGCAGAAAAAACAGCCAGTAAAACACGACAGGGAAGAGCTTTGTGCTGGGCTTGCAGGAGGAAAGAAGGAAGGAGACAAACCCTCTGGGTAGCAGTCAGTCATTTGATCAGCTCAGCTATAAAATATGGCATGTCCTCTGAGGGAAGACTGTGAGGGCAGAGCTATGTTTCTCTGGCCAATGCTTGTCAGAATACACCGTGCTTTCTTTCCCCACTTTGGCTGCTGCTATCACTAACGAGAAAAACCACTTCCCTGCTAGAGCAGCATGCATCACACTTCCTGACCACCCTCCCTGCATCCTGCCCTCCCTGCATCTTGCCTCACGTACTCAGCCACAGCTGCCTCAAGAGCTCATCACCAGCTCCTGGTTCTATCCCTAGGAACCTTCTGTCTCCTCCCTGCTCAGAAAAGTCGGGGGAACTTCTTTCTTCAAGCTTCTGGCAGCCCTGTGCACCCTGGGCATTTTTCTGTCCATAAACAACTCTGAAGGTTACCTGGCACTTTGTTGACCTGTCTTGCACTCACCAAGAGCAAGAAGAGGACACAACATCCAGTTCATGGTACAATGGTTAAACAACATTACAATTTTTATCAGAATTCAAAAATTAACCACAGTTAATTAACCACAGTGAAGCAAGCAATGACATTAACTCAAGATCATGCTGTCTGAGAATAGGTGCTCATGAAACCTGTGTCAACGGCCTCGTACCTCACCATGCCGAAGTTGGATACTTTAACAATGTGCTCTGCATTAACTAAACAGTTTCTTGCAGCCTGGGGAAAATGAGAGAAACATATCTGAAATCTGTGCTTAAGAATTTTAAGAAAAATACAGCAGTTGATTATATTTGCTTGAGCTCATACTGTTTATATCTGAAAGGAGATTAGTGTATTGGTCAAAAATATGAGTGAATTTCTGGCTCTGAGTCAGTGAACATATTTCACTACTGTGTAGTAACATATACATAGCACGTATGAGCTTAAATGCATGTAGTATGAGTTGCAATATGTTCACATATGCTTGAACGGTGAAAGAATTTTAGGCTGCAGAGTCTAGTCATCCAACAAGGTATCTCCTGAAACACCGGCACTAGGACACTTAGTGTGAATTTTTAAAAATGTTTTTTGACTTTTTCATTACAGAAATCAGGAACTCCTTGTAAATTTTCAAGATTTTACATTTCTTCAGGCAGCTAGATAGGAGAGCAGGAAAATTTCCTCTCCGCATCCAAATGCGAGCATGGATAAAGTATCAAGAAGTACAGAAACAAGCTACTCTCCTATGATTCCCTGCCCATGAGAGGTAGGACAGAAAACCACTCATATATCCCAACATCAAAGTATGGCAGTAGGGAGCTGAAAAAATATGGATAGAAAAAGATTCAATTTTAAAAAATCCTCGTTGTTGCTGATCTTTTGTATTGCTGTGATTTTGGATCACTCTTGTATTGGGATGTCCTAACACCAGACTGCTCCATGCCGATATCCCAGTTTTCTCTGATCTCTCAAGTGTTTATTCCAGTGGTAAAATCTTCTTTTTATTTAAGCTGTCCATGGACAAAAGAACAGCTGAAAAGTTTTATTTTGTCTTATTAGATCCTGCAGAGCTGAAGTCTTACAGGACACATAGTGTCCCATAAAATCAGTGGCACATTCTTTACTGCAAATATTTGTCAAGAACCTCAGAAAACCTATTGTACTTAGTAAATCACGGTGAATACAGCTATTTCTTTCCAGATATTCCATCCCTTCACACACATCCTGGCACATGCTCAGCAGCACTTCTCTGCCAAGTTTCCCCTGCCTTTGCTGAAGGTAATGGAGCAGGCAGCCACTTTCCATGAATTCAGGCACAACGTAGAGAGGCTTGTGATGTGTGCACACTCCGTAAAGCTGGACCAGCTTTGGGTGGGTGAGTTTCCTGTTTAAAATTGCATTTTAGACAGGCTAACATTTGTCCTTGGCAGGTAACTAGACCTTTGATTCCCATGATAGTTTTGAAAAATACTTTCAGTACTCAATAAACAATATCCGATTCAACTGGCTTCAGAGTTCTCCCACTACCTAACACATTTCTGCCTACAACTTCCTCCAAAAAGTTCACTCTGTGAATTCATAATTGTTCATCAGTTATATAAATGCAGTGACTGCAAAGCTTGATTTGGATGATGTAAAATGGAAAGGTCTAGTTATGCCTGGCTTTCGGGCAGGGGACATGACGCTACAAGGGTTCTTCTCCTCTGGGCTTTGCCAAGACCTTATTTGGATATTTTCCTAATTTGCAAAATTTGCAGATATGGTAATATAGTTTCTCAAAAGCTTTAGTTAGATATAAGCTCTGCCAGTAGTCCTAGAGACACTGAATTATGGATGAAAGAATAGTTGTAGGAGTACATTTATTTATCAGAACATTTACTCCCCATTTTGCTCCATGCACAAAGCAGTGAACACTCTAAAGAAAGAGCTTGATGATAGGCACAGAGAGCATCTGTATCAATTTGGTTCAGACCTTTATACCAGTCTTTCTCTCCTGCACATCCACCATTCCCACCAAACTGCTTTGTCTAGTTGTTTAAATGGACCTAGGTTATATTTATTTCTTGGACAACTGCCAGATATAATAGCTTTTGTACTTACATCATCAGTTTGACCTCCTCCATAAAATCATCTTCAGACATTGCATCTTCATTGATTGTTTTGATGGCAACCTTGATTGTTGCTCTGCATTTACCGAGATAAACAACACCAAACTGCCCACGCCCAAGTTCTTTAATGAACATTAGTTCAGATGAGTTTAATCCTCACTCCTCTACAAAAGCAACCGAATATGTTACAAGAGTCAGTCCAGTTTCCCAGTTGGCCTCCTAACTGTGCTCCAGGAGACATGCCTTGCTATTTGCAGTTAATGCATGCAGCGAAGCATCGCACTTGTTCATCAGCTACAGCATGAGTTTTAAATATCTGAAAAATTCCACTTGCTCACATATGTTTAAATGTCTTATTTTACAGCTTTTAGAATCTGATTAGTGCTTAAATTGCTTAATGTAGGAGTGTCTGAGGCAGGAGGATAAGGCAAGTGTTTAGCTTTGGTTGCACATGAGAACTTTTTTGGCATTATGATAGGTGATGTTTTTAGCTCCGAAACAGTTCCAGATGGATAGTATAGCTACAGAAATAGTTACTAGCTGCTTTTATTTTAATAACCACAATAGTTTTACCCTTCAGAAATAATAAGGCTTGAGATTCTTGGAACATAAAAGATACTCAATTTTGGAGGTTCCTATTGTCAGACAGATTGTATAAAATTCCTGATCTGTGTACACAAAAGTGGCATTCATAGCTTGTTTGATATAATACCATGTAGAATTCCATTCTTATTTCTAAAACTTGCAGAACTGACAAAGAAAATCTTCTCCATAAATGATATCAATTTCATTTTTCAATTTCAATTTTCCTAAGCATTTAAATAAACCAAATAGCCTTTTAAAAGCTTTAAATGTCTATTTGAGTCTTAGGTTCACTTAGAAAAGTCCAGATAGCTCTGAAATGCACTGGTAGTTGTATTAGAAGCACAGCAGTCACTGAACAGAAGCAACTGTCTGAATCAGATGTCTAATTTGGTACTGACACCTTACAGGAAATTAGTTTGTTTCTAGTGAATATATGTCTGTTTATGTGTTTCTTATTACCAAGACATTTCACAGATACAACTTAATTATGGGTGAATACAATCTAAATAACTAAATCTCCTCCAAAAGAAGATAAAAAATTTACCATAATTCAGTTCTGCTGTTGCTGGTGAAGAACATCCATCTGATCCAACTGGATATCGAAGACATGTGATAAGACCTGTAGGGAATAAAACAGCAATATTGTGTTGACCAATTACTTAATTTTTAAATATGCTATATCATACCTTTTCTCAAACAAAAACATTTGGAATCTGATGTACATTTCTTATTTCTTGAAGTTACTTTTTCTTACAGCTTCTTCAGAAAAAACATTACAGTGGAAGAAATGGCAAAAGAATATTCAACAGGGCTCTGATTACAAAAAATCTATACTTTCATGAAGCCAAGAGTTAGAGTCTTGTTTGTTTGTCTGTATGACATTAGTGATCCTAAATAAATGAGTTCTAAAAAACTGTATTACCCACCTAAGTGGCATCTTCCAGCATGATTTCTAAGGTTTGTTTCCCGTTGCAAAAAATATCTTCATGTCTGTCATTCATTTTCTTTGCATTCATGAGCCAGCATTACCAGTGAATACATCCCTCACCAAGGATTCTTCGTGTTCATTAATTCTTCCCACTGTTACTTTCAGGTTCTTTTCTGCTACATGTTTTTCCTACAATCCTCCTCCCACCAGCAGAGGGCTCTGTTCATTCCCATATTTTTCTTCTCGCTAGTGCAATGGATCTCTGTGTGTTTTCTCATCTTCACTCATACAGAGTAAAAACATTTTATATTGTATTAAAATGATGGGCAGAACGAAGGTGAAGGATATTCTTCATGCTAAAAATTATAAAAATCTGCCATCAGCCAACAATTAGATGTAAGCTGCAAGCCAGTGTTAAGAGAGTCCTTGTGCTCCCTAATTCTGCCTTTGATTGTTTGTGGTGTAGTTTTGTGTTCTTTTTTTTTTTCAAAATCAGTAGAATGCTACCTGCTGATGCACAGCATAGCTCCTGCTTTTATTAAACTGCATGCATACAAGTTCTTGTTGTAGACAAGGAAAGAATTATGATCAAATTTCATTCAAGTCCCATTCAGTCAAATATGAACCAAGAGAATACAGAGCAGGCTTCTAACTTTGTTAAATTAATTTAATACATGTAGATGAGTTTGGTAGTTTCACTTTCCCCCTTGGCATATGCACACTACAACTATGACTTTGGCAGAAAGGATACAGCTATATGTGAATTCATTAGAAATAGAAAAACTTGTGTCTCTTTCTATAGGAAAGTATTAGACAAGGAATGATTTCCAATTTCTCAAAGTCCAGTTACAAAACCATATCAGCTCACATGCATTACCTGCAGCATTTTGTTGATGATACTCAATGAGCTCAGGAACAGATGAAAAAAGATATTTTTCTGCTACATTATACTGTCCCAAGGGGTTTTGTTTAATTTGATAATGTAGAATATTTCCATTATGACTTCTGAAATCAACAAAGCATTATAATTTTCAGTAAAAATAATTTATACTATAAATCTGCTTAAATTTGAAAGCATAGTAAAATCTGTAAACTTGGAATGTAACTCAACTTAAAATGGCTATGTGTAGCTGGGATACTGTTTCAGGAGAAAAAAAAAGACTCCTTGAATGGCTCTTTCTCCCAGCTTTGGCAGATGTTTTTTATTGCCCAGTTATTTACCCCTATATCTTTGCATCCATAAAA